CCAGCTGTACAACCAGGGTGAGACTCGTCATCACTAAGAAGAATTAGGAAAGTTCCCAGGGCTCAGTGTTTGCCTCGCCCTCATGTTCCTCCCCCGTCGTGGGTGGCAACAGCCAGCTCCATTTTACAGGCGAGCGCACGGAGGCTCCCGGGGAAGCAGCACCTGCCCCATCTCCCATGGGCCCTGTGGTAGCAGAGTCACAGTCTTGTGACTTCCTCTAAGTCTCTTCGCCTTCGAGCACGTTCACACTCAAGACCCCATTTCTTCAGGGACAGCCCCATTCATGACCCAGAGCCTGAGGCCATTTCCAGAACTCCTGCTGCCCAGCCCTTTCTCCTCCTCCCCATTTGACAGATGGGGCAGGGGGGCTCAGAGAGATGTGGACTTGTCCCAGCATCCACAGAGACAGTAAGCTTCTCCCAGAGGCCTTCGGCCCTGTTCTGGTCCTGACACCCCACCCTACCCTTGCCTGCCCCCAGAGTGGTTTGCCTCCAGCACACAGAGCTACGTCCTGCGAGACCTGGACGACACTTCGGTGGTGGAGGACGGCCGCAAGAAGCTCAATACACTGGCCCACTACAAGGTGAGCCCCAGCCCACTCCACACCCCCCTCTCTCTCGCCCAACCTCTAAGCTCTGGCCTCTCCCCTCTTGTCAGATCCCTGAAGGAGCCTCCCTGGCCATGAGCCTCACAGACAAGAAGGACAACACCCTGGGCCGAGGTAGCATGGGTGGGCCCAGAGAGGGTGCCTGGCCAGGCCCGGGGACAGTATGGAAGCAGGCTCCAAGAGGGCAGGGCTGGGCCAAGGCTGTGGCCTCCTTGGTGGGGGTAGGGCTGAGCCAGCCCCCCTCTGACCCAGTATTGTTTGGACAGGGCCTGCTGCCAGACCTTCTTAAGCTGGTTTCCTGTGGGCAGTCAGAGGGAGGCCCTAGAGGGTGGGATGTGGTTCGGGAGGGTCTGGGCTGGCGTGGCTGCCCCACCCTTATGTGCTGCAGGCCTAGCTGCCTGGCTGCTGCTGGGTCTCAGAGCACCCTCCTGAGCATGGAAGCAGGGTCTCTCCAGGGTCGGAAGGAACGCTGGGCTGGGACCGGGGCGGGGTTGGTGGCTGAGGACGTGGGCTCCCTCGCCTGGCCTGTGTCGTCCAGCTCATTCTTCATCTCATTCTTGCTGTGTCTTTCTGAACG